GTTTGGGTTGGTTAGCCAGTGAAAAGGACAGGCTCTTAGTAAGAGATTTGATGAAGATGCTGTGTTTCCCAAGTGATGTATCCTGGAAAAGTAGGGACTAATAGGGGCTCTGAAAACAAAGGATCTCAAGCCCATGAAACAATGAGCAACAGTGTACAAGAGTCCTCACTTGGAGACTCACCATATAGTTCATCTTTATAGGTGAATAGAAGCCCCTTATTTGGCACAAAAATATACCCTGCAGGAAGAAATTATTCTCAAAAACATTCCCACAGCAGGCAAAGCACCCCTGAGAACTCAATGATTGTAGTTAGCCTTTTATGGACCTTGGGGGAAGTGGGAATGCCCAGGAGGGTTTCACTGGTCCCTCCATCAGGATGCTGGAGGAAGTGTGCTAGCAGGGTACCACCTAGGCGTGATGAAACTCATTGTCATGAGCTCACCACGTGTTATCTATGTCACCGCCCCTCCACGGAGGGTCTTCACTATGAGAAGTGCCTTCGCAGATGCCATCAGGGTGTAAGGAAGGGTCAAAGAGTGGATGGAGACAGATCTCAAAACAGTCGAATTGCTTGTTGTGAGTGTTAGTAGTGGATGAAACAGATCATTTAAAATAAAATACTAATGGACCTAATTCCTTTATAAATTTCCTTCTCCTTCTAATTATTAACTCACTTTGTTGTTGTTTGCTTTCATCAAATCATTCTCACTCATGTGATTCGATGTGTACAAAGCAAAGCTGGCTGTATAGCATTTTCAAAGCAGATCAGCAGACTCTCCCCTAGGATGCCTTTGGGTGTGTTTATTAACCTCTCAGCTACTAAAAGAGCATTAAAGTATTGGTGCCACTCCGATCTCTAGATGGGTCAAAAATAATTTCTCTTGCTTATTCTGGATTCCTTCATATTGTTACTTTGGGAATGTTCACTTACCCAGAATGCTCCCTAATTGTCTTTCTTCTTCTTTGACCTATCTGGAATGGAGTTGGGGCAATGTCAGATAGGACTGCTCAGCCCTCTGGGAATCCATTTCACTTTTTAAATATTACTTTCAGTTGCATTTACTTTCTGCCTACATGCGTGAGCCTGGGGACAGCTTGCTTTTGGCATCTACTAGTTACCGACACTTTGACTCATCTTGCTTCACTTGTTTGCCTTTAAAAACAGCTGTTTTCACTTGAATGGTGGCCAGTTCTGAGAAATGGCTAACCTGTTACCTAATTGAAATTTTTCTTCGGTTCATGGTGAATGAAGTCAGCATTTTTTTAATGAAAATGTGCTTCCTGCCTGAGGAAGTCTTTCAAGTCTACCCAAACCCAGCTTAAAACTATGGATACCTCTGTCTGCTTGGCTGCTGTCATTAAAGAATATACACATTAGCACTGACTTTTAACTCTGTGGGGGTGGGGGCAGGGGTGCCATATTTCTCTGCCAAGAAGGGGTTCTGGTTGCAAATATGTGACAATTATGCATGATTGCAAATCACTGAGGCTTATGCACGGGCCCTGAGAAGATGAGCTTGCTGGACTCAGAGACATTAAAACCAGTTGGACTCTTAGCGATGACGTTGTCCAGGAGTTTACAACTGGGCTCGGTGACTCCCCTGTGGGTGAGCATTCATTACATCCAGAGATCACAGCAGGTCTGGATTTTCAATTTTCCTTAATCCCAAAGTCCAAATAGTGCTGACTCAAAGCAAGCTCTTGCATATCAAAGCAGAATTGAGCTCCCTTGGGCTTTCAGGGGCGTATTTTTGGGATGTAGATTGCCAGGTCTTTCTTCTAAGGCACCTCTGGAAGGACTTGAACTTCTAACCTTTCAGTTAACAGCCAAGCACGTCATTAACTGTTGGCCCCACCCAGAGACTCCCTTCTTTCCTTGATTGTCTTCATACTCTTTTTTAAAGAAAGGGCTCCATGACTACAATTCATTTGGTAGGTAGGAATCCGTTTTGTCATTACACACAAAAGGTGGAAACACTTTTCCAAGGTCATGAGGTTTATAAGCTGCGGATGTTGACGTAATTAGGGCCAGGTGCCCAGGGATGGGGTGTGAGCCTTTGATGGCAGTAGGCCTAAAGAGGAACTAGGAGGACACACCAACCTAAAGACATTTTTGCTTTTCCGGGTCCCATTTCTCTAGCCCCCAACTTAGGACCTAGGACTTGTTGCTTGAGTCAAACATGTTGGCCTATACAATAGAAGCAGAACATTGTCTCCAAAAGGCCCTCTGGTAGTTACCTAAACTGTTGTCAATTTGAGACTTAGGAGTGAAGGGGTAGTTTAGCCTGTCAATCAGGTAGCAGCTTGATGACGGCAGGAGGAGGTGCTAAGGAGATAAACAGCTCATGGGAGGCGGGGCACTCTCTGACTCCCTGGGAGACATTACGGCTGACAAGACACAGGGAGCTACGCTAGTACCCAGAGCTAGGGAGCCACGTGGAGACCCCTGCCAGCGCTGAGATGCTTATAATGCCAATGGATCCACAAGATTTCCCACCCACTGGCCTGTGATCTTCCTGCAATCAGGATCATTGCATGTGTTTCATGAGTGTTAAGAAGACTTTATAGATTGGTATTGGACACATGGGCCAATATCAGACTTATGGACTTGATCTGGACTGGTTTGGGATATTTTCTTAATATACACTTACTCTGTATATGAAGCTTTTTCTTATACACGCATGAGTGTCTATGAATTTATTTCTCTAGTCTACCTAGGCTAACACAAGCCCCTTATCCAAAAGTCAAATGATAACTGTTTAACTTCCTAAACAAATTCTCTGGAAGCATTGCTCTGGACTGCAGTGGCCTGCAGGGTTAGGAGGTAGCTGAGTTTGGGTCCAGCTTCTCCCCTAGACAGTTCTCTCGAGTCAATCATTCTGCTGCTTGTACTGCAATTGCCTGGGAGCCCTGCCTCCATCACCATGCCACAACCCAAGTGCGACTCAAGCTGACTTGGGTAAAAGTCTAGTTTGGGGGTCAACTACATACAAGACTTTGAAACATCATTTAGCTTCTGTGGGTCTTCTTCTTATTTTAAAGTGGCAACAATAAAATGTTATGTAGTTATTGGTTGAATTGAACGATACATAATTGAATCCAAGAAAAGTACTCCACCCAGAGGTACTCATAATAGCCCCTCCTTCAGAGGTGGCCACTTGTGTTTGTGTGGTTGTGTTGTTGCTGAGTTGCAATGTTTCAGGAACCTTTCTCTCAAAGGCAGTGGGGAAGTGTGAATAGAGTGTGGCCTGGAGAGAACCAGCTGCAGAGGACTCTCTTGGAGGGAACCTGGACTTCAAACCAGTCAGTGGGTCCAACCAGTGATTGCTTTCCAATTAGTGGTCATTCTTGATGGACTTGCCGAATCCTCTTCTTGACAAGAGACCTGGGCATGAAGCAGCAGCAGAAGATCAAGATGAGAGAAGAGATGAGTTAAGGGTAGAGGCAGAGCTTCATGCATGGGGAGCTACTTCAAGCTACTGGCAGGCTAAGAATATCTAGTGAACTATAGAGAGCTAGAGTCCCTGTTTCCAGTGTTTACTTACATCGGTTCCCAGTACTGCACCAGCCTCCTCCATGCAATTTCATCAAGGCCTGATCCCTGCATGTCATAGTCAAGCCCAAGTCTGAGAAGTAAATGAACAATTATTAAAGACTCCAACACTGAATCCAACTGCTGCCTGAAAAAGTTCTAAACATGGGGCAGCTTCATAAAGAGCTGCTCAGAGAATTGTGGGAGTGGGTTGGGGAGTGGGAATGTGGACTCACTAACTTCCATTTTCAGAGTTCTAGAAGACCAGTCCCTAGAAAAGGACATCATGTTTGGCAAACCAGAAAGTCAGAAAATAGAGGGAGACTCTCAACGAGATGAATTAACCCAGTGGCTACAACATGGGGCTCAAATATAATAAGAATTGTCAGGGTGGTGCAGAACGAGGTAGTGTTCTGTTCTCTTGTCTATAGGGTCACTGCGAGTCAGAGCTGACGAACAAATGGCACCTAACAACAGCAACAACAACAGCAACAACAGCACGCCTTTACCAGATTGCATCTCTCATTTTCATACCACCACACATAATCCCATGTATTAAGTACTATCACACCACCACACCTAATTCCATGTATTAAGTATAATAAATAACTTGATTGGTTGAGAGTGGCCTTTAAACATGTTTGCTTTCCCGCCTTAAAACTCGTTGCCTTGGCCTTGGGCAGATAATGGGTCAAAGAGTAAAGAGGAAGAAGTGGAAAAGCAAGGAAAGACCGAGAAAGCCGAGGGAGGGCTCCTTTCTTTTATCAGGTTCTCACCCAGGCCCGCTTCGTGCCTGCTCCTCACCTCGGATTCCTGAGAGCTCAGGGGAAGGAGGGAATCATGGCCCACACCGACATCTGAATTTGGGGGTAAAGGGTCTTCCTTTAACCAGCCCTCTTCCAGCGGATATAAGTGTAAACCTCTGTGACGGGAGCAGCCCGAGAGAAGGCTGCTGAGCATCAAGGACTTGGTGAGGAGATGGAGAGGCTCCAAACCCAGCTCCGTGGAGAGCTCCTTGGATCCTTGCAGCTCAGAGGAGACTTTCCTCTGGAGAGAAACAACAGTAGGGGTTGAGAGAACAAGCTAAAACAAGCCTGTGTTTGAGATGTGCTTGTCGGAGGCTGTTGAGTTAACCACTGGTCCATGTTGACCCATTGGGATCACACGGTTGTGATCCTAAGGGTCGCCATTGGCAGTGTTCAGTGTAGATTGTCAAGTTTTTCTTCCGAATCTGTCTAAGTCTAGAAGCTGCACTACACCATGTTCAGCATCACAGCAAAACACAGGCCTCCATGCACAGACAGCTGTGTGGTGGCTTTGAGTCAAGGACCCCATCTGAGTCAGTGTCTGACTTCCTGCTTGGTTAACAGAGAGGGGTTTGAAAGCATGGTGTCGCTTGTAGGTTTAAACCTTTCTCATAAGTTTCAAAAAGGAAGGAGAGGGTGGTATTGTACTAAACACTGAAGCATGCACAAGAACTCCGAGAGCACACTTTTCACTGTGACGCGCGCAAGGTGCTGGAGAGACGAGCGGGCTTTCAAAGGTGAATAGCATCACATGGTGCTTTCCGCATGTTTTCACAGCACAGGAGCTCACACTTGAGCTCCCAAACCTACAAAAGGTGCTTATGAATGCTTCCAACACTACAGCATGTATTACAGTTAATGCTGTACCGTTATGATTTAATCCTGCGGCTGTATATTTGTTTACATTTCTCCAAACTGTAAATGGTGCCACAGATAATCTGTAAGTGTGTAAAGTTTGAAAGATTTTAATGTTTTAGAATAGATTTACATCTACTTTATATACTATAGTAAATGAAAATATAGGGTCCTAATACATATATTTTACACATTCAGCACACATGACTTTTTCTTTAAATTTTCCGGTATTTCTAGGCTATGCAGTTCTTCTGTAAGTTTTTTCAAATTACCACATATCTCCAAAATGGTATCCAATCTATTTCTTTAAAAAAAAATCGCATGCATATGAGCCTGTTCAGTTCAAAGCCATGCTGTCCAAAGGTCAGCTGTTAGGAAAAGCCTGGCTTTGGGGTATGAACATCATGCACATTCCACTAATGGGTTGGGTTGCGTGTCACTGGGGGAGTTATTCAACCAGTGATGTTGACCATTCGTTTCCATGTCTTTAAGACAGAAGAAATGTCTACATTCAATGTTCATGAGGGCAATCAACCTTGCATTTAAGAGCCAGGTTCACAGCTTTGCACTCTGTAGGCATGGAATAAAGGAAGGGAAGGAGGAAATTCCAGTTCTTGATTCTGTCTTTTTCATAGTGAAGGATACAATTTAGTGAACTCGATAGCAATGATTTCAAGGAATTGCTTTGTGGGTCTCTCTGGAAGATCCACATTTTAGGTATCCTGGTTAGTTATCTTTTAAGCCCATCATGAATATTTGAAGATGGCATATTTATGTCACTAAACATAAATTACATGTACAGATTTGCATGTTTGCAAACATTTGTGGAAACTGTGTGTGTGTGTGTGTGTGATGCATTTATCTTACTACCATCTGTTTATTTCTTAGACAGTCCTGGCTCTCTCCAGAAGCAAGAACTATGGAGGGAGAAGTGGGAGAGGAGCCACTCGCCAAGCAGAAGCCTCTCTCGGCGCTCCATCAGCAAGGAGAGATGGGTGGAGACTCTCGTGGTGGCTGACACGAAGATGGTTGAGTATCATGGCAGTGAGAATGTGGAATCCTATATCCTCACCATCATGAACATGGTATGTCAGGCTGCAAAGGGCGGGAAGTTGGAAATAGATGTCATAAGTGATGCCCTCCCCGCTCACCCCTAAGAAAGCAAAAACATGAGATCTTTTTGTGACCCTTTAGCGTGTGTGTGTGTGTGTGTGTGTGTGTGTGTATGTGTGAATTTATTACTGGAGAGACAAATTCAGGACAAATTAGTATTTCCCCTTTTTAAAAACTGTATACACTTGAAAAATTTTCTGATTATTATTTACATATTGCTACTATTTAAAGAGGTCTGGCAGCAGTTCAAACCCACCAACTGCTCCGAGGGGGAAAGGTGAGGCCACCGGTAAAGATTTACAGCCTCGGAATCCCTGTCTTGAGTTGTTATAGCTCAGATCCAACTCTACACCACTGTGTTTGCTAGACTGGGGGCACCACGGTGAAGTGCTCCGTAGCTAACAGAAAGGTTGGCGGTGTGAATCCATATTGGTAACGCGATGGTTACTTCTCATGAGGTCGGCAGTTCAAAACTACCAGTTGCTCTGTGGGAGAAACATGCTGCTTTCCATTCTAGTAGAGAGTTAGTCTCCAAAGTCCACAGGGAACTCCTACCCTGTCCCGTTGGCTCTCTGGTGTTGGAATTGACTTGATGGCAGTCAGTTTGTCTTTTTTTGAGTGGCTCCTCTAGAGGAAACGTCTGACTCCATGAAGGCTAAAGCCTAGGAAACCCTATGGGGCGGTTGTTCTACTCTGTCATAGCGGGCTGTGTGAGTCAGCACTGGTCTGCTAGCACATAGCAACCACATTCTGTATATGTTTCAGGCTCTGCACAAGTGGGTAAGTGGAGGGAAAGGACGAGAGCAGGTTTGGCAAACTGCAGCTCCCAAGCCATATGCAGCTCTTTGGGTGCGTACATGTGGCTCTGAAACAAAATTGAAGCTGAAAATAAAGCTATCATCATTTCCTTTCAAGTTTAAAGATCGTATTCAGATCATGGTGATTGCATTTGTTTGTATAATTACATTTATAGGTCTCGTGTAGTTTTCAAATTGTTGTGAGGGACAGGATTGGCTCTTCCATCTCTAAAGTTTGCTGAACCCTGAATAAGAGCATGATCTCCTCCAGGCAGTTGGCATTGGAATTCCAGTAAAGGTTCAAGCTTCCTTACATCGTTACTGGTGTTTTCTGCCTTTCCAGGGAGGGTGTTAGTCTTACTGGCACAGAAATATAGTTGTTGGAGACTCCCTGAATTTTTCATTAGGCCATTCCATAAATGGTTGGTCTGAATGACTAGAGAAACAAATCCAGGGACACTCATATATGTGTACTAGAGAGCTTTATATCAAAGAGCAATTATATGTTGAGAAAAATCCCAGGCCAGTCCAGATCAAGTCCATAAGTCTTATATCAACCCATAAGTTCAATTTTAGTTCATAAATCTCTCTTCAGACTCACACAGCCACATGCAATGATGCTGAATGCAGGAAGATCACAGGCTAATGGATGAAAAGTCTTGTGGATCCAGTGGTGGTAGAAGCATCTCAGTGCTGGTGTGGGTCTCCATGTGACTCCCCCAGCTCCCAGAATGTGGCTCTTCAACAGGAAGGTGAAGCAGAGAGAGAGAGAGTGTCGTCCCAGAACGCTTCTCATGAGGTCATGCCCACAAGGAGGGACCACCGGGTTGTGACCTGATTGATTGGCTAAATTCCACCTCTTCACTCTTAATACCTTCAAGTCCACACTAGATTATGTAACTACCACAGTCCCCAAAGAAGAAACAATTTTACCTCATTAGAACTCCTCTTTAAATTATTCTCTGTATTGATTTTCTAATGTACTAAGCTATGAAAACTACAGACATTCTTCTGCTTCCTCTACCGTCTAGAGCTTCCCACACTGAACAAGATACTGGTGGTTTGGCTACCACCTCATGACACTTTGGTTCAGTTTGTTGGACTTTTGGTCTTGTGCTCTGGATGTTTAAGAACCCTTGGGGGTGACTGATGCGCCGTTAAAGGGGAGAAGCACTAACAGAGTGTTTCAGGGAGGAGAAAGCTTGACCTTTACCCATATGTGCCTGGACATCAGGTGAGGCAGGAACGCGTCCCTTTTTACCTACGATAAACCCCCTTCCAAACCTAGTCAGACCCAGGAAATTTTGTACCGGTTTTTGATGGTTAACATCCATGAAACAGATGCGTTTAGTTATACCGGATGTTATGTGATTTGGATGACCTCTGGTTGTCCTTGACTCAGCTGCTGCTGCCGGACACAAGCCTGGAAGCTGGAGGAGTTTGCAGTGGCAGCAGGAGCAGAGCAAGAGGAAGGGTCTGGGGGTGGGGAAGGGGAGGGGGTAGGGGGTAGGGGAATCCAGTGTGCCTGGTCCTGCTTGCTGCCTGCCTGCCTGTGCCCCAGACAGAATCAAGAGGCTGGACTCAGAGCCACGTCTTCTGCCTCACCTTCCTGTATCCTGTAGCCCTGGCGGGCCAGTGCTGCAAGGGTGACACAGACTCTGAACAGCTTCTCAGAGAATGTCAAAACAACTTAGCCTTGGTTACCCAGGGGACTGGATTCCTCCCCTTTTCTAGACTGTGCCTTGTTTATAGCCCCATGGCAAGAGTGATGGAGTGGAAGGATGGAATGACTATCTCAAGGTGGTATAGAAAACAAACAAAATACTCCAAACCAAACACATTGCCCTCCAGCTGATTCCAACTCACAGAAACCCTGTGGTTACTGGTGTTAGACTGGAAGTTACCCTATATGTGCAACAGTCCTGTGCCATCGGCACAATTGTTCTTATGTTTGAGCCCATTGTTGCGGTCCTTGTGTCAATCACTGCCATTGAGGGTCTTCCTCTTTTTCACTGGTCTTTTACCTTGTCGTTGTTATTGTTGGGTGTCAGTGAGTCACTTCTGACCCATAGGAACCCTACGCACAACAGAACAGAACATTGCAGGGTCCTGCACCAGCCTCACAGTTGCTCCTAAGCCTGAGCCCATTGTTGCAGCCACTTTGTCCATCCGCCTTGTTGAGGGCCTTCCTCTTCTTTGCTTTCCCATGTAGGATGTCCTGCTCCAGGGGCTGGTCCCCCCTGATAACATGTTGAAAGTATGTAAGATGAAGTCTTTCTGTCCTTGCCTCTACAGACCATCTGGCTGTACTTCTTCTGAGACAGATCGGCTTGTACTTGTAGCAGTTCCTGGTACTTTCCATATTCTCCACCAGCACGGCAATTCAAATGCGTCAATTACCTGTTATTTTAGCAAACAGGCATTCCCTTTTTCCAGGGTCAGCTCTCGCTTGGCAACATCCCCAGAGTATGTCAGACTGTGGTCTCACCATCCTCACTTCTAAGGAGTATCTGGCCATACTTCTATCAAGACAGATTTGTTTTTATATATCTTGTAGTCCATGTTACTTTCAATATTCTTTGACAAGACCATAATAACAACCATATAGAAGAGAGTAAAGCTGCTTCATAAATTCTCTAAGGATGCATTCTTAATGGGAGCAGCCTGCCATATCTTTTGCCCACAGAGTGGCTGGTGGGTTTGAGCCACTGACCTTTGATTTGGTAGCTGTGTGCTTTAACCATTGCTCTACCAAGTCTCTTTCCAAGAGGATCCACACACTAAACTCATTGCCATCGAGTCAATTCTGACTCATAACAAATCTATAGGGCACACTAGACCTCCCCCTGTGGATTTCTTAGAGTGTAATTGCTTAGGGGCGTAGAAAGCCTTCTTTTTCTCCAATGGAGTGGATGACAGTATTGAACTGTTGATCTTGTGGTTTTTTGTGCAACATGTAACCAACTATGCCCCTAGGGTTCCTTATCTGGACAGGATAGGCCCCTCTTATTGAACCAGTCACAGGGGACTAGAGAGACTCCAAACAAAGCACATGTCCAACAATAAAATCCCCAAAGGCATGCTGTACGGGAACGTACTTGGTGTTCACATGCCAGCTAAAGCCTCTTACACCAAGGGAGGGAAATGTCTCATCCTCTAGAGGCCAACAGGGGAAAACACAGCAACACTTAATTTACTGTGTCAGTTCTCCCTTCAGCTTCTGCAGAGATTACAGCCAGGGAAGCCCTATGGGACAGTTCTACACTGTAACACCAGGGCCACCGTGAGCCAGAATGGACTTAACAGACGTTTCATGCCAGAATTCCTGTGTGACCCAAATAGGATTAATGTGTTAGTGTAGGGGGTCAGGTGATGAAAACTTCGTAGACAAAAGTAAAGTCCTTGAGGGAATGAGTTGCTGGGCCTTGTTGCTCAGGATCGTAGTCTCAGGAGACAGCAGGTTAACTGGTTTAACGTAATCCATAAAGGCAGTGTTCCACATCCACATTTGGTGAGTGGCAACTAAAATCATAAAAGCTCAAGCCCAAGTTACAACTCTTAGTCTCTTGATGCAACTGTTGATCTCGCCATGTCCAGATCAAAGGTGAGTGATGGAAATCCAAGAACCATTGAAATGATTTGTACAATGGACTAACGTACCAGGAAAATATCAGTCTCCATGCCTCTGAGACCAGAAAAACTAGATGGTGCCCAACTACCACTACCAACTGCTTTAAAAGATCCTTGGCAGGAGAGGAAAATGTGGAACAAACCAACAAAAATAGACTTATTATTTGGATAGACACTGGTGGAACTCCTAACACTATGGCCCTCAATTACAATTCAAATCTGGAAATGAACTCACCCCCAGGGCTCAATTTTCAGCCACACAATAGACTGGCATGTAAGGGAAAAATAACACAAACAAGGTACACACACCTTAGGGTAATCAGTTATCTGAGATCCACAGGGCAGCATTTACCCATGGTCACCTTTCAGACGGGTTAGGGAATAAGGGATAGCTAGAGAGCAGAGAAAGGAAATGGGATAAGTGATATTGCACGATAGGGATTCAGCCACATGTATGCATTGTTCAATGGGAAACTGATGTGATTTTTAAACCTTTATCTGGTACACACACACACTCACACACTCACACACACACGGTTAATAAGCTAAGCTAAGAACCAATGGTGGGTAGTCAGAGTCTACCCAGAGATGCCTCAGAAGAACAGACTCCTTATCTAGAAAAAGCAGCCACTGAAAACTCGGTGCAGCAAAGTTTCACTCCGCCAGGCATGCAGTCAGAATCAAATTGACAGCAAGAATTGAGTTTTGTTTTTCCTGTTTTCCGTATAGGGAGCTCTGGGTGCAAGCGTTATGAGTTGGGATGCTCACCATAAGGTCAGCAGTTTGAAACCACCTACCACTCTGTGGTAGAAAGACAAGGCTCTCTATTCCCCTAAAAGTTACCGTCTCGGAAACTCACAGGGGTGGTTCTACTCGAGCCTCTCGAGTTGCTATGAGCCTGCATTGACTCCATGGCAGTGAGTTTGGGTTGGGGAGTTATTTTCTTATAAAAATAAAGGAGGGAAAGTTAAATCCAGGAAATTGAATACTAAAAACAAGAAAAATATAAGTTTAAAGAATATGATGATTGAATCATTGGTACTTTAGGGGATTTATAGAGAAAAATAAGTAGGTAAAGATATCAGAGAGGGAAATATTATAAGCCATTTCAAATGCCCGGCTGTCTGTGAAGTAGCTGGTTCCATGAGTTCAGAGGGTGTCTGCAGAGTCATAGGTTGGTCTCAGGAGCAAAGAGCTTACAGTACAGCATTATGTAGGAGGAAGTATAAAGAAGTTCTTAATTTCTCCATAGAGTCAGGAAATGAACCCCTGAGCTGATGGTGATTCTTATGCAAATTCCTAGACATTGCATACGGAGACTGTCTCCCCAGTGCAGGACTTTACTTGCTAATCAAATAGCAGCTTAGGCTGAATTCTTTCCTTCAGTCCCCCTTTCCTTCTTTCTGGCTAAGAAGAGCTAATTGTAGTTTCCTCAGAGCTGAGATGATTTCATTTTACAGATGCCTCATTACATTTTTATTAGGAAGAATTAGTGGTTGCAGATCAGTTGGCCGTTGGCCAATGACATAAACCATGAAGAGGATGAAAATTGTTTAGGAGATTGTGCTTCAGACCTTTGAGCCCCTGGATGGAGGGGCAGCAGAAAAGAAGACCCTTGAGCAGATGGCTTGTGCAGCAGCTACAACAATGGGCTCACACACAGCAGCCCTGGTGAGGATGGTGCAGGACCAGGTAGTGCTTTGTTCTGTTGTGCAGAAGGTCACTATAGGTTAGAAGAGACCCCACAGCAGCTAACAACAACGGCAATAATTATTAAGGGTATCAGTAGCCCTGGTGGATAGCGATTGCCTGCTGGGATTTCTCTGGAGAAGACCAGCTTACTCACAGCTCAAGTGTTGTTCTTCGGTGCTAATGAGTCAGTTTTTGCATCATATAGACCCCACAGGGCAGAGGAAAACTGCCCTAAATACCAAAGAACTCTTTGAAGTCATTAGAGAGTCAGGTTGAGGATGAAGGTGTTCCTGAATCAAGTAGAAGTAGATTTGATGGCAGCGAGTTTAGGGGGGTTGTTTTGGTTTGGTTCAGATGCTTACATCGGAACAAAGAAGACCAGAGAAGGATGGAGGATGCACTTGAATTGCAGGCTGATGAAGAGTGTGGACGTTACCATGGACTCCCAGAACAAGAAGCCCCGGTAGTCCTGTGGGCTAGACACCGGACTGCTAATGCCACGGTCCCTAGAGACTTCCTCTCACCTACTTTGGACATGCTATCAGGGGAGACCAGGCCCTGGGGAAGGACATCATGCTTGGCAGAGTAGAGTGCCAGCAAGAAACGAATATACTCAACTAGATGGATTGACACAGTGCTGCCTGAATAGAATGAAGAATAAAAATAATTGTGAGGATGGTGCAGCCAACAGTGGTTCACTCTGTTGTACATAAGGTCATTGTGAAAGGGAGCTGACTTGAGGTCACCGAACAACAATGACAAATCTTTCAGAATCAGATCATCAGGGTTTTTCCCCAGAGAACCATTGAGGGAGTTTGAACCACCAATCTTTTCATTAACACCTGAGCCCTGAACAGCTGGGCCAGTGGTCAGAATGAGGCCATCAGCCTATCTCATTCTTCATTATATTCCACCCAAAACTCTTCACCTATAAACTACTCTTTATTTGAAGTGAGTTCGTTACATTGCTGTTTTTTCATTTTCTGACATCCTGATCTCGACCCTTGGGTGGTGCACATGGTTTGTCTTTAGCTTCATCTTTCTTCAGCAGAGCAGATGGTGATTTTGAACTGCTGATCTTGTGACTAACTGCCCAATGCCAAACCTGTTATGCCACCTGGGCTCCTTTGTCTTTATGTTGTTCTCAGGTGCCATCAAGTCAGTTCCAATCCAGAGTGACGCTGGGCACAACAGAGTGAAACACTGAGCCTGTGCCAGCCTCACGATTGTTCCTAGGCACGAACCAGTTATTGCAGCCACTGTTGCAGTTCAAACTCACCTAATGGCTCAGAATAAAAAAGAGGGAGAACATGAAGAAGGTGGAAGAGGAGGAGGAGGAGGAGGAGGAGGAGGAGACTGGTGATCTGCTTTCATATAGATTATAGCCAAGAAAACACTGGAGAGCAATTTCATTCTGTAACAAATGGGGTCAATTCTGACGCGGGCACATGGGGTTATTTGCTTGTGTATTTGGGCATCCTCCTCTCTGCACTGGGAACTAACCAGTTTTCTCTTCTGCCTCCAGGTGGCTGGACTGTTCCATAACCCCAGCATCGGCAACGCCATTCACATTGTGGTGGTCCGGCTCATTCTGCTGGAAGAAGAGGAGGTATGGAGCAGGGTCCCTTTCGTTCTCCTGCCCTGTATCCTCACGCTCTTCTCTTTCTTCGGGAGAGTTGTGGAAACACAAAAGGTGTTTGGAAGCTGATCAAAAAGGAAAACAGCATTGGTTTCTTGGATGTTCTGTAATGTGGAGTGGCCAAAGGAGAATGCTTCTAGGATAGGTAGAGCTGAGCTTACCTGGCCAGTAGCACATACACCAGACTTATAGCAATCAGTAAGGATGCCCCATGGTAGAAACAGACTTAGTCTTGATATGGCTGAATGGTTGCAATAAGAGTTGGGAAGGAGATGGAAACCTTGGGCCTTTTTTATAGCCTTTACCTCTTGCACATTCCTACAAATCTGGAAGGTCTGGGCTTTCTTAACTTTCTATACTCTTACCTGTGACGATTTCATCTATTCTTAGAAATCTGCATGTTTTCTGAATTCTGAGATTGTCAATTGATATCACCAGGCCAATTCACCTGAGCTCTAAATTCATATCCACTTGCTTGCTTCATATCCCAACCTATGTGCATCAGTCTGCTCAAACTTAAAAAAAATAACATGCCCAAAATGGAATTCTTAATTAGCCCCTTCTTTAATCCTCCCACCTCTGTCCCCTTCTCCAATCCCTAACCCAGCCATCTTACCCATCTCTGTAAAGAGGGTTACTGTTTCACCAGTCAAGTAGCCGATCCTGATTCCACATCCAGTTTTACCATCAATTTTAAGGCCCAATTCCAGAACCAATCACAGTTCATGATCACATTTGGTCATCAGGCCTTATCTTGCCTGTGGATCAAACCCACCAGCTGGTCATTGGGAGAAAGATGAGGCTATCTGTTCCCCAAAAGATTTACAACCTCAGAAACCTTATATAGCATCAGTTTGAGTCAGAATCAACGTGATGACAGTGAGTTTATAAATGCATCCATTTCTTCTGTTGTGCCTTTCAACCTACCCCTGGTGGCATAGGGGTTACACACTGGGCTGTGGGCTGCACATTCAGCAGTTCAAAACCATCATTCACAGGGACAGAGCCCCTTTCAACCAGCTTTGCCATCTTGTCTGTTTCATTACCAAATGAAGTAGCTCTTTAATTTGTATCCTCATTGCCATCAAATCAATCTCAACTCCTAGTGACCCAATTAGACAGAGTAGACCTTCCCTGTGGGTTTCTGATGCTGTAAATCTGTCCAGGAGAAGAACGCTTCATCTGTAATGGAGTATTTGTATGTTTTTGTCTTGAAAATAGCGCTTTGATAACTTGAAGTACAAAAATGTTTGTCATTATAAAATGGTTGTCTATATGTTTATGTTTCACTACACTTGTGCAGAGGAAGTTAGAGTTTTCAGACTTTTCTAAAAGAATTTTCAAAAAAAGAAAAAGAAGAGAAGACAGTTCCTTGTTCGAAGAAAAATCTTGATTCTCGGTAATCCGCGCAGTACCAGAGTAGGTGTCAAATTGTTACTTCCAAGGACCAGTCCCTCTGAACTCCACAGCCCTTCATTTGTGAAAACCTTTTGTGTTAGTCTGGGTAGACTAGAGAAACAAAATTCATAGACACTCATATTTTATAAGAGAGAGTTTTATATAAAGGGTAAGTGTTCATTAAGAAAGCATCCCAACCCAGTGCTGTCCAAGCCCATAAGTCCAACATTAGCCTGTATGTCCGACACCAATCTACAAAGTCCTCCTCCATCTCACAGAACACGTGCAATGATGCCAAATGCAGGAGGAAAGCTGAATCAGTGGGTGTGTCAGCATCTCAGCGCTGGCAGGGGTTTTCTTAGCACCCAGGGCTGCATCAGGGTAGGTCCATGTGGCTTCTCCTCAGGGGTTTCTCACAGGAAATGAGCCTTGCCAGCTGAGGCAGAGAACTAGCTAAGGCAGCTGCACATGGATTCAACCATCAGAGAACAAGGCTCGCCGAGCCATTTATCTCTCTGCCCCTTCCATTAATCTCACATGTGTTCAGCAGCCAGGTTGGCACAATAAATCTTAACTCTCACACCTCTTCATTTTAGAGGCACCAAGACTGAGGTCTTGTTGCCAGTGGAGTTCTTTGGAAGAATGTTATTAGCTACTGCCCCTGATTACTGCATCATGATTTTATTATCTTTTTTCTTTCCACTCGGATTCTGTAAGAGCAAAGCTACATAGACGATTTGCTACAGACCATTATGGGTCCCTACCTACCTCTCGCTAAATACATTCCTCATTCAGACATTTATATAATTTCCATATGATACAAGAGTCACAAGGTAAGAACAAAACTGCAGAATGGTCATTCATAAATCTTATTTATCTGATTCCCAGAAAACGTTTCAGGCCATTCTTCAGGTCTTTCACTAATCAACAAGCCCAACAAAAGCAAAACAACAATCCTAGCACTTAAATACTATCAAAGTAGCACCCTTGGGCAGGGAGGGCAGTCCATCAATTGGAGTCTCTCCAGTTGTGTTGGTGGCTTGTGTGCTGTGATGCCGGACACTATATCATCAGTATTGCAAATACCGCCAGGGTCATCCGTGATGGACAGGTTTCAGTAAAGCTTCCAGACTATGACAGGCCAGAAACCCATTTCAGAAAAACTAGCCACTGAAAATCTTATAAACAGCAGTAGAACTTTGACATAATACCAGAAGATCAGATCTTTGAATAATACTAGTGACTGCTATTATTGAAATGCCTGGATCAATATCGCCTGCTTTCGTTGGGTTTGTTGATTAGTCAAAGACCTGCAGACGCAGTTAAGTTAAAATTTAACATCTTATCATTTGATCTCCCTTTTGATCACTTTAAATTTGTTCTAGTTTTTAATATTTCCTGCCTTTTTGATTGAGTTTGTCTCAGCTTTACTTTGTTATTGTCGCTAGTTTTTAAAAATGTTTTTCTGTATTTGAAATTCAGAATACGTATATCTACAGAGATAGTAACTGGATAGTAACTGGTTTCTTAGGAGGGGGTGGGGAGGGAAAAAATGAGGAACTGATACCAAGGGCGCAAGTAGAAAGAAAATGTTTTGTAAAGGATGATGGCAAAAAATATATAAATAAATAAATAAATAAATAATTTTTAAAAAAGGATGATGGCAACATATGTACAAATGTGCTTGATACAACTGATGTATGGATTGTTGTAAGAGTTGTGAGAGCCCCCAATAAAATGATTAAACAAATAATTAACAAACTGTACAATTCAATAGTTCGATGATGTTAGGAAGAATTGTATAATCATCACCACAACCAATCGTAGGACATTTTCTTCCTTCTTATACTCATCATTATTAGCTCCCCATTTCCCCCAAACCTCCCTGTGGTCATGATAGTGGGGAGAGGGAGCATTAAAGAACTAGAGGAATGTTGTATGTTTTGTTTGTTAATTACATGACAATAGAACTTAAAAAAAAAACTGTGACTAAGAGTCCTTTTGAATTGTGGACCACTGGAGAGTACTTGAAGAAAGTGATGCCCAAGTTCAGTTTCAAAGAAATAGATGGAATTAATAGGTAAGAAATACCCCAGGGACAAAATCCTACATGAACAATGGCTTTGCTGCTTTAACTGCTGTTGCTAGGTGATATATAATCAGTTTCAGCTCATAATGATTGAACAACAGAGCAAAGCACGTTCTAGCCCGGTACCATCTCACACTTGTTGGC